TAACTCTCTTTGCTTCCAGGGACTTCTGAAAGATCAATGTGATGGTATAAATACAACTCTTTGAATCTCTTAATAGAAAACTGCCAAGTATATACAAAATTATATTATTCCAATGAAGAAGTAATGCAACAAATACATGCATATATGTGCAGTGCACAATTCAGTAGGGTGTGGGTGTGGGTGGGTTTGGGGTTGGAAAGTACTGAGAGCTTTTCTGGAACTCACTCTATAATAGCACAGAAATCATAGTCAACTGGCCAGCTTCCAATAGAATACAGACCAATTCTATTTATCATCAGAGAGACTGACTTCTCTGAATGATTATCACAAGCACTAAAATATTTCTAAAATGTGGTCAACTTTCTTCTAATACAGACTTTTTAAACAAGTTGGCATTCTGGCGTGTAATTGTAGAACAGATTTTTGTAATTTCCTTTCTATACTTTAAGAAGAGTTGGATTTGTCAAGAGACTCAAAAACAATCAATCCTACATAAATGTACTTTAGAGAAAGTTTAATACAAAATACAATTCAAATAATGGGATCACAAAATGCAGCACTAATGAAAGGTTAGGGGAAATAGGCGTAATGACTATACTTCTCAGGTTTCCTGGAATAGTCCACATTCCAAATACCCTGAACTACTCTTGTCATAAACTATTGAAATGACCCAGGGATTTTAATATTTAGTATGCAATTTAGATTTCCACATAGCTTTTTATATTCAAAAGTTATACAAAAATCCTTTGGAGATTGTGCATTCTAATGATTTAATACAGAATATGAAGTAAATGTGGAAAACAAATCTAGTAAATGTGGAAGCAAAATGAATTTTACAAATGGTATTGATAAATCATGTTTAATGGTTGATAAAGAGAAAAGCAGATGCTGGCATACAGTGCTGGTCTGGCGCTCATGACTAGGCTTAGTATTCTTCTGCTGAACATCAACAATTTTAAAGAATACCAATATCAAACAAGACCACTTAGTGACTAAGATGGATGGAAACAAAAAACGAGAGCCCTCTCTAATTGTATGGGACACAGACAAATGAATGAACACAAAAATGACGGTCCCTACAGTCTGGCTAATATGACTAACTGCTGCTTGTTTACCAACTACAACTTTAGCTCCACTCTATTCTTCTTGTCTTCACATTGAGAATTATTAGAAACATATATGCATAGCCCATGGTCACGAACAATAGTGTGGTGAAGACAGAGGTAGGGGCTGGGAGGAGGTGGGCAAAGAGGTGGGGGGAAATAGGGATATTTGTAATAGTGTTCAACAATAAAAATAAATTAAAAGTAAATTATGCTATGTATAGTTAAATTAAAGTTATGTATAAAATAGAAAAAACTAATTATTGAGATATTCAATCACAGAATTATTCTACTTTCTGACAGCATCCTATCCACAAAGCTTCACTTCCTTGGAGCCTCTCCAGAATCACCCAACACAAGACCACATCCTACAATAAGTCCTTTCCAACACCATCTTACTAAATGTTCACAGTTTCTCATGGTCTGTATTTTCCATTGTTGCAATGAGTCAGTAAACCTAACTTTGTTCAAATATAGGTATGTTCCGGATGGTCTTTGGGTGAAAGGAATTGATATAGTAAATATAGATGCATTGTACCCCAACAGATAAAACAAATTATGCTAATTTTGCTATAATAATGTCATTAATACCAGTTAAAATATATCATTTTTTTCCAAGGATATAACAACTAAAAATTGGATTAATGGTTTTATGGACCAGCATTCAAATACTATCTCTACCTCTTTCTCTTCTTAATTCACCAAACAATTACATTTGAAACTCATGTGAGTAATTGGAATATAAAATAAAAAATCCTATACATTGAAACTAAATAGGTAATAGATACCCTCAGTATAAATTCACACAAAATCAATCACAATAAACAAGAAAGGCTAAAACCAATAAAAGAGTGGCATGACCATATCAACTCTTTAAATCACAAATAATGCATATGATAAATTTTAATTTAAAATTTAACATGTTAGGAAGATGCCACAGAACTCCTATATAAGCGTTAGATGTAAGCATTGTGCGCATTAGCAAATGCAAGGATAGGAATCACCCACTCTGAGAAACCAACCTTCTATTGATTTGAGTCCTCTTGTCTACAGTTAACCACGTTTGATGACTCTTATCTATACCATGTGAAATGTTACAGACTTCAGTCATAGATAGTGCTTCTCAAACTTGAATGTGTAAGACCACTTAGAGATCTTCTTAAGAGCAGATCTTGACTCACTAGATCTGGGGCAGAGCCCCAGATTCTGCCTTCCAGCTATCTTCCAGTGATGCCAACGCTGCTGGTCCATAATGTACAAATTAAATGTTATAAGGGCAGGCTAGGAGTTCCTGGGGCTACTGGTCATGCCTGCAATAATTACCAACTGTGCTGTTACAGCTCATGACAAGCCCCAACACTTCATCAAGAGAAGGTTAGCGGTCAACTGTTGGAAGTTCTCTGGTGGCCTAAAATTGCCCTGGCAGTAGTGAGGCAGCTGAATAATAAAACTGCATTAGCCACTAGTTATATTCCAACAGGGCAAAACCAGAATATTCCTTTTCTGAAATTAAAGGCAAAAAGAACTCTGCTTTTAATGGGATTTGTAATCACACCTACTATATATTTGTCTCCTTGGAACTCTACAACCTTCACTTCCCAACATATTTTCTCCACTCCCAATACTTGGTTCAATTCAGGCTTTATATATAATCCATGCCCTATGCATTAAAACTCCATATGGTTCCCTTGAGGTTTTGATCAGTTTGCTCTTGAATAATCAAAGATATCAAAAAACTAGAGGCTGCTCAAGGGAGATCGTGGGGGACCCTGTTTCTCCTATGCTATAGCACAGAAGCGAAGAGATGAAAGGGACCTAAGAGTTCATCTAGTCCAGTGAGCCCCCAAAGTGTTTGGTTTGGGAGATGTGATGTTCATGAAGTATGTGGGAGTGAGGCCGGGCCTGCCTTAGTGTTGCAGATAAACCATCACAGATGCCCTTAGACTAATTGTTGTTCCATAGTCACAGTGTGATAGCTAATGGAACACAGTATGAAACTCTACTCAGGACCTGGACTCAGGTGACCTGGAATGCTAAACGTACTTTTACACCCACAGTAAGTAATTGCAGTAAAGTTTCTGGATCAGTGACTAGAGTAACTATGGCTTAGAAAGATCCAATTTGAGGCTTCTCTGGATTGGCTGACAACGTTAACCAACTTTCAAGTGTTTTCCCACATGAGGAAATTAGTGGATATTATAATAATAGACATGCTTACTTTATTTGATATATCCTTAAATTTTTTGCTAAGATCTGAGACCACTGCAGATATCAGAGAAAATATAATTTGACCAAGATCTATCTATCTGAAGGCTCATTCTCATCCTTTCTCAAACCAGTCCTCTGTTGGACTCTTTACTGGAAAATTCCACAAAATGTTGGTTATATAACTTTATTACCCAACTTCTAACTACATAATATACGACACGTGCTCCAAAAACCACAACTAGAAGATATACAAAAATTAAAATACAAAGAAGTAAAATAAAAATCAGGGAGGTAATCACACTAAGTGGTTTCTGAGGTTTTATAATTAGCATATGCTAAATATCCATCCTCTTCAGTTGACTTCTAGATATAAAAAAAGATACATAGGGAGAAACTCTTTAATTGAGAAAAATCAATTTTCAAAAAAGGAACGCTATCTCCCTTAATCAGTTTTAGTGGTAGAACACAAGAATTCTAGAGGAAAAAAAGCCAATTGCCGCAATATATAAAAGAGCAAACTAAGACCCAGAAATGTAGAGTAAAACATCTAAAGTATTCAGTTAGCAGGAAAGCCAGAATTGGAAAAAAGTCCATTATTAATTCCAAGACCTGTGGTCTTCCCTCTATATCACAGTATGCTTATAAACTTTAGGGTTCAGTCATAATATCTTATACATAGTAGGCTCTCAAATGTTCATTGTTGGCAAATAGAAGGTATGGTATGAGGGGAATGAGAGTCATCTGCCCTACCCCCCACTCAGCTAGACTTGCTGATTTCCACCTGTAAGCTCAGTTGCTCCTTGCTGAGCAAATCAAAGCTGACTTGAGGATACACAGGAGCTGGAAAGCCTTTTTAAAGTTGGACTCTGCATGCAATGTCCTATCACTGGCCCCTGGGCCCCAAGTCATACAGTTCACTCCCAGGCACCTAGTACCACGTTTGGCACATAAAAGGTGCTCAATAAATAGCAATAACTGTCACTAAAGAAAGTTCATTGCTGGAAAAGAAGCAAATATCTACCTGCAAGGGAAACATTAAATTCACACTGTTAAATCAGACCCAGGACGATGCTTCTTATTTTTGTTACTGCCTCATGGCACTAAAGAGATCTCTAGAAATTCAGTGAGCCAATGCATAGTTCATCTTCTAGCCAAAGATCAAAATAGATGTCCAGATGTTAAAATACAGATCTTTAAAACAAATGCAAAAACATTCTGCTTTTGTACTGAGAAAAAAAATGAGATTTATTTAAGTAAAAGAATGAATTATAACTTTACCATTTATTATAAAGTATACTGATAATCAATTAAGGAACCTATAAAGATAAAAATGAGAAACTCAATACTTTTATTTCAGTCTATCTTTTTTTTTTAAAAAAAA